AGAGTTATTATTGAAAGAATTAAGAGTAAGACGGAGAATAGAATAGCAGATGAACAAGGAGGCTTTAGGAAAGGTAGGGGGTGTGTGGACCAGGTGTTTACAGTGAAACATATAAGTGAACAGTATTTAGATAAGGCTAAAGAGGTCTTTGTGGCATTTATGGATTTGGAAAAGGCGAATGACAGGGTGGATAGGGGGGGCAATGTGGCAGATGTTGCAGGTGTATGGTGTAGGAGGTAGGTTACTGAAAGCAGTGAAGAGTTTTTACGAGGATAGTGAGGCTAAAGTTAGAGTATGTAGGAAAGAGGGAAATTATTTCCCAGTAAAAGTAGGCCTTAGACAAGGATGTGTGATGTCACCGTGGTTGTTTACTATATTTATAGATGGGGTTGTAAGAGAAGTAAATGCGAGGGTCTTGGCAAGAGGCATGGAGTTAAAAGATAAAGAATCAAACAAAGTGGGAGTTGTCACAGTTGCTTTTTGCTGATGACACTGTGCTCTTGGGAGATTCTGAAGAGAAGTTGCAGAGATTGGTGGATGAATTTAGTAAGGTGTGCAAAAGAAGAAAATTAAAAGTGAATACAGGAAAGAGTAAGGTTATGAGGATAACAAAAAGATTAGGTGATGAAAGATTGGATATCAGATTGGAGGGAGAGAGTATGGAGGAGGTGAATGTATTCAGATAGTATTTGGGAGTGGATGTGTCAGCGGATGGGTCTATGAAAGATGAGGTGAATCATAGAATTGATGAGGGGAAAAGGGTGAGTGGTGCACTTAGGAGTCTGTGGAGACACAGAACTTTGTCCTTGGAGGCAAAGAGGGGAATGTATGAGAGTATAGTTTTACCAACGCTCTTATATGGGTGTGAAGCATGGGTGATGAATGTTGCAGCGAGGAGAAGGCTGGAGGCAGTGGAGATGTCATGTCTGAGGGTGATGAATGTTGCAGCGAGGAGAAGGCTGGAGGCAGTGGAGATGTCATGTCTGAGGGCAATGTGTGGTGTGAATATAATGCAGAGAATTCGTAGTTTGGAAGTTAGGAGGAGGAGCAGGATTACCAAAACTGTTGTCCAGAGGGCTGAGGAAGGGTTGTTGAGGTGGTTCGGACATGTAGAGAGAATGGAGCGAAACAGAGTGACTTCAAGAGTGTATCAGTCTGTAGTGGAAGGAAGGCGGGGTAGGGGTCGGCCTAGGAAAGGTTGGAGGGAGGGGGTAAAGGAGGTTTTGTGTGCGAGGGGTTTGGACTTCCAGCAGGCATGCGTGAGCGTGTTTGATAGGAGTGAATGGAGACAAATGGTTTTTAATACTTGACGTGCTGTTGGAGTGTGAGCAAAGTAACATTTATGAAGGGGTTCAGGGAAACCGGCAGGCCGGACTTGAGTCCTGGAGATGGGAAGTACAGTGCCTGCACTCTGAAGGAGGGGTGTTAATGTTGCAGTTCAAAAACTGTAGTGTAAAGCACCCTTCTGGCAAGACAGTGATGGAGTGAATGATGGTGAAAGTTTTTCTTTTTCGGGCCACCCTGCCTTGGTGGGAATCGGCCAGTGTGATAATAAAAAAAAATAATAAAAAATGACTATTTGAATTTCCTGTGCTCTCTTGGTGTAGACAGCACCATCCTGGGCAGGGGATATGAGAGCTGGAACAAATAAATATGATTTCAACACCAGCTTATCATCTAAAGATGATTGCAGTGATGATAATATTGATTCAAATGTTGCAAAAATATTTATGCAGACTTCTTCAATTCATTCATCAACAATTCCACTATTGGGTGATGGAACAGATCTTGATATTTCATCCACAGAAATACACCATCTTTGACAATGTTGACATCAGAAGGTGGCTCAAGAACAGTAGCATCTGACCATATTGAGGAACTAATAAATTTTTCTAAAGGTCTTAGCACCACGAGATATGAGGAGATTCTCACTAATGACTGCTCAAAGAGCTCCTTGGATAGGATGGATTACAAAGTTTGTCAACATTCTGGTACTGAAAAATCTAGCTTAGATAAAATAGAGAAAATCCAAGGTGCCAGCAGTAGCTCAATCAACAAAGCATTTAAACTACTTGGAATGCTGAGTTCTGGTAATGATATATGTACAAAAATTTGAAAGCCCATAGAATGCACAACATTCTGGGCAAACCTAGACTACAATTAAGATTATATAGTTTTACTAATGGGTCTAGTACAAGGAATTTACAGGAGCTAAAAATAGTTAAGTTACAAGTTAGAAAGATTCTTCCTTGAAGAATAAAAAATACTAATTTGCAATTTGTAAATATTTGCATAGTAATTGCAGCTATGTAAGAGTGAAGATATTGTAACATATGACAGAATATATGGGAGCAGAAAAAATAACAGAAATAATAAGTACAGGATAAATAAATAATTGATGAAAACTCAATAAGCAAGTTTTATATGTTAAGACATTGCTATTATGACAGATGTGAAGCCTTGAGAAACTCCTGGCTGACTTAAAATTTTGGGGGGCCTTTTATGCACACTGTTCTTTTGCTCAGGTTGGGTCAAACAGTGGGGGACATCAAAGAGGTACATCTGTTTCTTGTATTATGCCTATGAGTTTTGTTACAGCTCTCTCTCAAAAAAAAAAAAAAAAAAAAAATCTGAGAAGGGTTTACATCTGTACTGACAGTCCTGTATAGAGAATAAGTTTAATGTTTTGTATGCTGAGTAAGTTTAAACTTTTGAAGAGTGGGAAGGGGTGGGGTGTTGTCTAGCACTTGCTTGAGGGTTTATTCACACAGCAGCTTTTTGTTGAGTTACTTTCAGCTGTAGGTGATTTGCTGTAGATCCCCAAACAAATACCATAGATGAGGTAAGGATTGATTCGAGAGCAGAGTAAGCAATGTTTGAGGCACATAAGATATCTTGGAAAGTATTCCCACTGAATATGTACTCTCTGAAGAAGAGAGATGCATAATATATATGTGGACAATATTTGAGGGCCTGGTCCTAAACCTGCACAATACCCTAACAATGTTCTACAGTGAAAGATATGGAAGATGTGCAAAATAATCCAAGTAAAAGACAGGGGTGCTTTAGGCACAATAAGGTAATACTATCAACATCTGTGGGCCCAGACTACTGAACACACTACCAGAAGATATCAGAAATACTGCCAAGACAAGTACTGTATAGAAGTCTTTAAGAGGAAATGTGACCAGTAACACCAAGTGCTAAATCAACTAATCTACATGGGCAATTGGGTTAATAGATTCCAAACAGCAACAGCCTGATTGTCCAGACTGCTGATGCTCTTGGATTTCAGAAACACTGACTCCTGTATGTATCTACAGGTGAAGTAATCACATGCTCAAATGAAAAATCTTGTAATTTAATTAGGAAATTAATAGGTACTTTAACAAAAAAAAATTGCAAAACTGGAAAATAATATCTTGCAATGGAAATAAAGAAAGAGCTAATAACCTGTAAAAATATACAAAGGCAAGACAAATCAAAATGCATCCAAGAATGACACATGAGAAGTGGAATTAAATGAAACAGAAAAGATGTCCGGAAGTTGTTAAATGAGACACATGTGCAACTCTTGGGTATCTTTATAGAGGAAACGTTTCGCCACACAGTGGCTTCATCAGTCCATACAAAGGATAAACTTGAAGAATAGGAGGAGAATGAGGTAATCAGTCCCTCAACCTTGAGTCGATGTGGTCAGTCCATCAATCTTGAATAGAAGATTGATGGACTATTCAAGATTGATGGACTGACCACATCGACTCAAGGTTGAGGGACTGATTACCTCATTCTCCTCCTGTTCTTCAAGTTTATCCTTTGTATGGACTGATGAAGCTACTGTGTGGCAAAACGTTTCCTCTATAAAGATACCCAAGAGTTGCACATGTGTCTAATTTAACGTGTCGGTTCTTTGAACCATTCATCTACAATGTCCAGAAGTAGAATAGCAAAGTGCAGGACTAGTAAAGCAGACATAAAAGACAAAAGAAATAACAATCCAGGCAAGCCTGAGATTTTTTGGTTTGAAAGCAAAGTGAAAACAGTGATTAGCAGGAAAAATACCCTAAAGGAAATTTAAAACTAATATAAACATGCTTGCTAATGATGCAAAAATTCTGCACAAAATAATAAAACATCGTAGGGCTCTACACGAAGACCTAGATAAACTGAGTAGATGGAGTGATGGAATTTAACGTGGGTAAGTGCCATAAAACAAATACAAAATTAAGCTGAAAACAGGCTACACAGGGACAAAAAATTTAATGTGCTGAATGAAGAGAGGGACTAGGAAATACTAACTGCAAACAGACTGTTAAGTACATAAAATTGGAAAGGTCTTTGAGACATCCTACAAATGGTTTAGAGCAGAAAAAAAATTAGTTATGAAAAATGAAAATGCCCCTGTTGTCTGATTAAAGACACACAACCACACAAAAAATCACAAAAGGATTTGAATAAATCGGGAAATATTTAAGAAATTGTATGATAAAGTATTGTAATAATGTTTGTAGCATTACCAAGAATGTGTGAGAAAAAAATATAAAAAGATAGGTGATGCACCTAATGAGACATTATCATGGTGTTTTGCTCTCTGGGAGCTTGGTCAAGTCAATACCTTCACAAAATTCCTAGAAAGTAAAATGCTGCCAAACTTCATAAATTATTCTATTTAATGAAATAAGGGGTGATGACATTTACTCCAAAATAGTGATATTCACAGGACCATGTTAATGCCAGTTTGTCTTTTTTGAGGCTAAATTAAAAATTTTAAGGATTAAGAAAGTGGTACAAATGAAATGGTAGAGCTTCTCAAGAGTAAATTTATGTACCTAGAGCTTTAGGAAAATAAAAGGAAAAGTTACTGTTTGCAGATTGTGAAACAGTGTATGCTTGAGCAAGGATAAGAGCCTTAAGAAAGTGTAGAAACTTGTAGAAGAAAAGTAAAATTTCATTTAGCTGGATGTGTCTGAGTGTAAATACAAAAGCAATAACATGCTTACCATTCAATCATGAGTAACCTGTTGAGACAGTCATCCCCGCAGCCAACTTCACCACGCTCCAGCTCCTCCTTAGTGAGAGAGCAGTCGCACACCATACGTCGCACCTCTTTGCTGCGCTTGCTCTTCTTTCTCTCTCCTATGTACAAGTTTTCTCTAAGGTGCTGGAAGCTCTTCAATCTCTCTTCTACTACTTGCTTGTTCCTTATTTCTCTTTCTCCAAAATCAACCTGCTGTTTCTTTGCAAGTTCTAGGATTTCCTCACTAGTTGGATTTATTTCCTCAACTTTGCTTCCTATAGTATTATCTTTCAGGTCTGGTTCATCACCAGTAATATGGATTTGAGCTTTACTTTCAGTGATAACATTCAGTTTTATTTCATCACACTGAAGATGAACTTCTTCAACCTTACTTCCACTACTGCCTGTTTCGTTCTTTGGCTCAAGATTCTCTTTATTGTCATGAGCTTCTGCCACCAAGCCTACACCTAGATGAATTTTTACATCCTCAATCCGCTCCTTCTTGCTCGAGCTACTGCTGGCACCATGGATTTTCTCTATTTTATCTAAGTTAGATTTCTCAGTACCAGAATGTTGACAAACTTTGGAATCCAGCCTATCCAAGGAGCTCTTTGAGCAGTCATTAGTGAGAATCTCCTCATATCTCGTGGTGCTAAGACCTTTAGAAAAATTTATTAGTTCCTCAATATGGTCAGATGCTACTGTTCTTGAGCCACCTTCTGATGTCAACATTGTCAAAGCTGGTATTTCTGTGGATGAAATATCAAGATCTGTTCCATCACCCAATAGTGGAATTGTTGATGAATCAATTGAAGAAGTTTGCATAAATATTTTTGCAACATTTGAATCAATATTATCATCACTGCAATCATCTTTAGATGATAAGCTGGTGTTGAAATCATATTGTGATATACTAGAATCACTAGTATCTTTCGAAAAACTAATTTTTTTCTCAAATGTTGTTTCATCAGAGTATTTCTCATCTATAGGCTTCTTAACAGTATCTTCATTAGTATTTGGAAAAATTGAATCAGCACCTTTTAAACTTATATTTGGTTCCAAGTTGTCTTTTGAACAATCAGACACAAAATTATCTTCCTTTTTAGAGGTTATAGTAGATTTTTGATTCCTCCTGGGATATGCTTCAGTGGGAAGAGGTATGTCTAAAGTAGGAATCTTAAAACGCACATTTTTGCTTTCTACTTTTGGCACATCCACGTTTGGCACAGCTCGTTTATCTTCTTGACTTTCTTCAGTTTTTCTTCTTTTTCTCAAATCATCATCTGTGACTTCCATTGGCCGTTTTCTCTCCTGAGAATCATCAGAATCCAAGCCTGTGCCATCTGATTCAGCTTTTGAGTCACTTTTTCGTCTTTTCTTCTTTGGAGACTGGAGACCATCAGGCAAAGAACACTGAATGTCCACTCTGACATCACTTTTTTCTATTTCACTACTCTCTCTCTCTCTCTTCCATTTAGTTTTGCTTCCTGAGTCTGTTTCCAAAACTTGCTCTAACCTATCCTTAGACTCATCAGACGAGCTATGCAAATCTTCCTGGGTAAATGGAAATATTTTACTAGATATTTTGGACAATTCACCCCTACTCTTGGTAACACCACTAGGTTCTTTTATCTTACTCTCGTCTTTTAAACTGGTTTCCTTTATATTTGCTTTCCCTGATTTAAAGATTTCCAGTTTACTTTCAGATTCAACAAATTTTTTTGTGTCCATCCCTAGTCCTTTGCTCAATGCACAACCTGAGCTGCGTCCCCTACGTCTGGACGGAGTGGAGCTATCACTGTCTGTAGAGTCAGTACTGTCCTCCTGTAGCAGCCTTTTTCTTCCTCTTGGTGACTTTATATCCTTAATATTTTTTACTTTATCCAATTCTTGTTTGACACTAGAATCTCTTTCTTCCTCTAAAGTGTCAGTCTGAGAGTTGATATAGTGGGTTACATCATCTCTGGACCCTACACTTCCTTTGTGACAATCAATCAACAATGGTTCCACAACTGGCAAAACAGGCAAAATATTTGAGCTAGTTTTGGGTGTGATATGTAAACTACTGTCTTCAAGACAAACATCACCATTTGTTAGGCTATCTGTTTCTTTGCCTTTCCCTGTGCTGTCAACCATTTCTTTGCCTTTGCTGTCCACCATTTCTTTGCCATCAACTGTTACTTTGCTGTCAACAGTTTCTTGGACATCAACTGTTCCTTTAATGTCAACTGATTCTTTGCCCTTGCTTGTGTCATCAACTATTTCTGTGCCATCAGTTGTTTCTTTATCTTTTCCTGTGTCATCAACTCTTTCTTTGCCTTTAACGGTTTCTTCACTGTCAGCATTTTCTTTGATGTCAGGTATATTTTGGCTAGCAGTTATTTCTCTACCATCAACCATTTCTTCACAGCCAGCTATTTTGTTGCATTCAATTGTTTCTTTGCATGCAACTATTTCTTTCCCATCAACTATTTCTTTACCAATAGTTGTTTCTTTGTCACTGACTGTATCTTTGCTGACAATTGTATCCATACCATCAGCTATTGCTTTGAAATCAACCGTTTCTTTGCTGCCAATTGTACCTTTGCATTCAATCCTTTCTCTGTTGTCGGCCATTCTTTTGCAGCCAACTGTTTCTTTGCGGTCAAATGCTTCTTTGCGATCAACTGCTTCTTTGTGATCAACCATTTCTTTGTGATCAACCGCTTCTTTGCGATCAACCGCTTCTTTGCGATCAACTGCTTCTTTGCGATCAACTGTTTCTTTGCAATCAACCGTTTCTTTGCAATCAACTGCTTCTTTGCTGAATACAGTTTCTTTGCTGTCTACAGTTTCTTTGCTATCTACAGTTTCTTTGTTATCTACAGTTTCTTTGCTGTCTACAGTTTCTTTGCTGTCTACAGTTTCTTTGCTGTCTACAGCTTCTTTGCTGTCTACAGCTTCTTTGCTGTCTACAGCTTCTTTGCTGTCTCCAGTTTCTTTGCTGTCTCCAGTTTCTTTGCTGTCTCTAGTTTCTTTGCTGTCTCCAGTTTCTTTGCTGTCTCCAGTTTCTTTGCTGTCTACAGTTTCTTTGCTGTCTACAGTTTCTTTGCTGTCTACAGTTTCTTTGCTGTCTACAGTTTCTTTGCTGTCTACAGTTTCTTTGCTGTCTACAGTTTCTCTGCTGTCTACAGTTTCTCTGCTGTCTACAGTTTCTCTGCTGTCTACAGTTTCTCTGCTGTCTACAGTTTCTCTGCTGTCTACTGTTTCTTTGCTGTCAACTGTTTCTTTGCTGTCAACTGTTTCTTTGCTGTCAACTGTTTCTTTGCTGTCAACTGTTTCTTTACTGTCAACCATTTCTTTGCTGTCAACTGTTTCTTTACTATCAACGATTTCTTTGCTGTCAACTGTTTCTTTGCCGTCAACCGTTTCTTTGCCGTCAACTGTTTCTTTGCTGTCAACCGTTTCTTTGCTGTCAACCGTTTCTTTGCTGTCAACCGTTTCTTTGCTGTCAACCGTTTCTTTGATGTCAACCGTTTCCTTGATGTCAATGGTCTTTTTGCAGTCACTTGTAACACTAGGCTCTTGACCTGACTCAATCTCTTCTCTTTTACAAATATTCTCATCTTTCTGTGGAGAGACTGTGTACCTTTCTTCAGCAAGAGTATCATTATATAAGCACTCACTCACTTCACTGTATCCACTAAGTGTTTCACCACTTAAACATTCACTCTGGACATTTTCTGCAGAGATACTGCTATTTTTTATATTAATACAAGATTCACTATCAACAGTGTTACCTATATCACTTTCACTAAAAGATTTGTCTTTTATATCAATATCACTAAACTTCTGGTCACTTAAAACAGTTTCGCTACTGATTTGGCCTTTCACATGAATCTCAATCTCAATGTCCCTCTGATCAGATTCACTGCTCTTTTGGTTTTCTCTCTCTGGTTCCCAACTATCACTGTCACACTCAGAGCCATCCCTAGCACTTTCACTGGGAGTTTCTCTCTGGACTAATTCCATTGGTTTAGCTTCAGACCTCACATCTTTGCCACACTGATTGAGATCTGACTTTCCCTGATTTTCAGCCTTGATTATGTTACTGCTGATGGCTCTCTCGATATCCTCACCAATCTTTTCCCCTGTGACAGAGCCTGAACTTCCATCCTCACTCGAGATCCCACTTTCACTTGCCTCTCCTTCTTCCTCACTCTTCTTACCTCTTCCTTTTTTTCTACCTCGCTTCTTAATGTCTTTGGTTGGGCTCTCCAACTCGTCCTTCTTTTTACTACTTCTGGTTCTCCTTCCCATCTCGTTAGTTTTCTCACATTCAGCCTGCAATTTACTAACACTAACAGAAGTTTTTTCATTCTCACTTTCACCCTCAAGGCCATTTACTAGAGCTTCTGATTCAGCACTTGGTTCAACAAAGGACACACGTGTTTCACATTTTTCATGCAATTCTTTTGAATCAAATGCAACATCAGAAGTTTTCATATCCTTTTGGTCAGTTTGTGACCGGTTTGCTGATGCAACTAGTTTGCTCCCATCACTCTTGTCATCATCTGGCTCTTCAGACCTTACTTCACTCCCATCTTCACTACTACGACTGTCCTTTCTCCGCCCGACCTTCCTGGGACGACCTGAGGGGGAACCCAAAGGAATAGGTGTCTCAGGCGAAGATAAACCAGTGACAATCTTTTTAAATCGACCATCTAGCTCATCATCAGCAAATCGAGAGTTTGGTTTTCTTGCCCGAGACGATCGTCGTACAGGGGTGTTTGCTTCCCCTGGTTCCCCATTCATCGTGCTTGCCAGGAGTATGCCATTCAACTGACACAGTTGCACTGTGTTGGTCCTCTAGTCACCCTCTGCAACAAGGAAAAAAAATAATTTTTTTTAGACAAAACTAGACTTAATACTGTTGATATGCTACAGTGTACATTCCTATTCAAGAAAGCTGATCCAATGACATTCCTGTAATGAAGAGGCATCATGTGTAGAAAGAGACATTTCTCTCCTTGCCCCTTTATTTTCATTTTAATCATGGGGAAAGTGCCAAATCTTTAGGTATCAATCAATACCTGGGAGGCATTCTAGCTCAATCAGAGGAAGGAGAGGCTAAGTCCAGTTCCTTGGATCTTGTATCTACAACATTCAGTGCCAATAAGTAGGCTACAAAAATGAGCCTGGCCCAAGCCTGGGCTCCAGTAGAAAAACTCTTGAAACTCATCAGATATAAAGCGAGATCCAAGTATGAGCATTATTATCATTATTATTACATTTATGAAGGGAGAAAAAGAGTAGGAAATAATGAGTTGCAATCCAAGAAAGTGGAGAACAGGCCCAATTCCCTGGATTATGAGGCCCTCACTGGCATGAACAACCCTCCCTTGAAGAAAGAGAACAGAGAGGGGGGGGGGGGGCTAGTTTAAGATTATACAAGTAGACAGAGTACTGTAAACATGACCATTTAAACAGATGAATTCCAAATAAAGCAGAGGGGAAAATTATTTACAAAATGTTTTTTAAGCTTTTCATACATGTAAAAAAAGAGACTGATATGTTCTAAATGTCTACTTCAAATACATCTCGGAATTCCCCAGGCAGGGTAACTGGGTAAAAATAAAACAAGAACATGTGAATAAAGGAGAGACATGCAGGCCTCCTTGAAGGCACTGTTTTAAGAATAGGGAGATTATACCATTGACGCCCAGGGCATCACAAGGGTTAACAGAACTTGGCAGCGAATTACTGATCAACAGAAATGATTAGACAGGAAGAACTGTTGGATCAGACTAGTACATGTAGTATAGTTGCAGAGACGCTAAATTAGCTACACAATTCGCAAAGCGCTAACTATTTATACTAGATCTGCCAAGGAACCAACTGGCCACCAGATGCTTCTATTCAATGGGAATAATGTGAAAGAATACAATTTTCTTGGCACCTTCAGCAAGTATAACAGAGGGCGACACATACTGAAATTAAGAAAAAAATGGAGCTGAAGGGATAATCAGAAATTTTTCTTAGTAGTATTAGAATGGAAAAAAAAAATTGATAGGAACTGTTATAACTAATGGAAATTTAAGAAAGGTATATAATGAACATATTAAGATGGGAAACCATGAGTATAGCTCTGCTCCTGCAACCACAAATAGGGACAATAATTAACCCTTTGACTGTAGCGGCCGTATATATACGTCTTACGAGGTACCGTGTTTGACGTATATATACTCATAAATTCTAGCGGCTTCAAATCAAGCAGGAGAAAGCTGGTAGGCCCACATGTGAGAGAATGGGTCTGTGTGGTCAGTGTGCACCATATAAAAAAAATCCTGGAGCACGCAGTGCATAATGAGAAAAAAAAACTCCGACCGTTTTTTTTAATTAAAATGCCGACTTTGTGGTCTATTTTCGTATAGTATTTATTGTTGTATTCTCGTTTTCTTGGTCTCATTTGATAGAATGGAAAACATATTATAGAAATAGAGGTGATTTTGATTGATTTTACTATAAAAAGAACCTAGAAATGGAGCTCAAAGTTGGGGAAATGTTTGATTTTTGCCAATGTTCAAAAGTAAACAAATGATGCCATTGTCCAATAAATGTCCAACTAGCCATTCTAATATGCAGTCATGAATGGGTTGATGTTATTTATACAATTATTACAGTATTGCAGTAGTCTGCATAATAGTAAGTCTTCTATTTTTTGTTTGAATAAAAATTCAAAATAGAAAGCAAGAGTAATATTAGAGGGGCCTGGAGACATGACTGATGAGCAAAGAAAATTTTATTTTAGAGCCAGGAATGTCTGCATTGTTCATTCTGGACCTTATTTTGAAATTGTCATATTTTTTAGTTTTCGTGAAATTGGCCAAATTGCAAATTTCTGACCACATTATTAGGTAGTAGAAATCGGTAAATGGGCAGTTTCTTGTACTCAATCGATAGAAAAAATAGAGTTCTAAAGAAATAGCTATGAGTTTGGGCGACTGGAATAATGGAATTAGCTGAAAATAGGGCTCAAAGTGGGCGAAATCGCCGATTTGTAAACAGCGCTGAGGTCGCTAACTTCGCAAGAGCATAATTCCGTCAGTTTTCCACCAAATTTCGTTTTTTTGGTGTCATTACAATAGGGAAAAGATTCTCTATCATTTCATAAGAAAAAATAATTTTTTTTTTTTTAAATTTTGCGACACCAGGAGACACCTCAGGATTGGGGGTTGCGACAGTCAAAGGGTTAAAAACATCTCACTGGAACTATAACCCCTTCACTGTACCATGACTGGATGCAAGAGATTGCAGTAATGACTTCTTGATTTGTTTAGGTTATCCTCAATTACATCACTTGCCACTGACATGTGCCTATACTAATGTTTACAAAGCAACGGAATAAACATTTAATTTTAAAACACTTAACTACCTACCCACATCCATCTTTAGCTCCACTTTCTAATGCTTGCTCAAGTCTTTCACAACACATCGGCTCCCTTACCTTCGTGTATGTTGTAGATATAATATGTCCTTATGAAAGAACATATTGTACTTAAATTTAAACATTCCTATGCATGCATTTGATAACCAGTAACCTAATTTTTAAGTTGAAGGGTTGGTTCACTTTAATTATACTGCTCAGGAGTTTGTTCCATTCATCCAAATTCTTCTGCCAAAGTAGTGCTTTTCTATAGCCTATCTAAATTTAAATTTACCTAACTTGAATCCATTTCTAAAAGTCCTATCTTGGTTAGAGATTCTCATCACTTCATTTATATGTTTATTTATTCCCATATTCTATTAGCATTGAAATCATGTCTCCCATCAAATTCTATAATGTTTTTATCTTTCAGCATAAGCTTTTACCTAACAACTGCTTACGAGATAATCAAACCAGGGAAAGCTGACACATTAAGGAGGGGTTTCAAACTTCCCTTTGTTCCCCTTGACAATGCCACCAGACAAAAGCAATGTCTCCAAGAGTAGTCCACTCACCATTTAGTAGTAAGTGATAGGCTTGAGGATTCTAAACTAGGCCACTCACTCAAAGATTAGTTCTTAGACAGAAAGAAGACATCCTTTTGGGTTATTAACTCAACAACACCCAATAAAGCCAAGTAATGTGGTTTAGTCCCAGTGGGGGATCCTCTCCTAGGATGCAATCCACAACATTCAATTAATTCCTATGTGGTACCTATTTACTGTTAGTTGAACATGAGCACTATCATGATTATTATTACACTGATAGGGAGAGCATCTGAGGAATACAAGACAATCAGATCTGATCCAAGGAAGGGGAGGTTAGTTTCATTTCCAGGGACAAAGAGCCCTTTACTGGCATCAAGGCACATCCCTTGAAGGGAGAAGTGAACCTGAGTACACCAAGCCATAAATGCAACAGCGATGAAGAAATACTACAGTTTATGTTCAAAAGTAACAGTATGATCATCAGGATCATAAGTTCTGGAAATGAGATGTGCTCTCAACTGCGAGTTAAAAGCATAAACAGACATTGGCAATCTGTCAAACAATCTAGGAGCTACATAAGAAAAGGCTCATTCTGTGAATGATCACTCTATGAGCAATCCACAAAACTGCAATGGTGAATGTAGTCAGTTACTAGTGACAATTCTGAATCATTGCTGTTAATTATAATTTCTCATGTAGGCAGCTGTTTAGAGTAGACAGCCACATATCTCCAGATGTTCTCTTAAAAGATGTAATTCAATGTACACAGTAAACCATAATACAGCATGTATTATCTATCCAGATTTCAGTAAGCTTTGGATAAAGTCTCACAGAGAAGACTGTTAAAGAGAGCAGCAGCAAATATTATAAGAGGAAAAATTTGTATGGACTCAGACACACATAAACTGGCAGCAAAGGTTGTATAAACAGGGGTAAGACCACAGTATTGTGCCTTTTTGTTATTTTATCATAATGGAAACCAGTCACTAGCATCATTCTGAATAAAAAAATGACATGAATAAACTAGCTGACAATACAAAATTAGGCTGACAAATGCAGAGGAAGATACCAATGAATTTCTGAATGACTATGACAGGTTAATATCAGGATCTGAAAAAAGAGACAGCTGAAGTTCAGTGTTGAAAAGTGTCAAGTCCTTATATTCGGGAATTAAAATACTGTAATTCTAGCACTTATAAGCTAATATAGAACTCGATCACACAGTGTGTGAAAAGAACTTGGAGGACAGGAAACAAAAATATGAAGTTAAGATGGCAGTACCAAAGACTGTAATATGGCTAACATTGGTTGAATTTACTCTGAAGTATAAGCAAATAAGTCCAAAGGTTATTCCATAGCTCTGCACATCATTAGGAAGGCCTAATTTGGATTATGCCACACAGTTGTTTTGCCTATTCCACAGGATGAATATAAATTCATTAGAGAACATAAAGGAGAATGACAAAATTAATCCACTGTATAAGGAATCTTTCATACAGAGACAAAGAGCGTTGAATCTGCACTCTTAAAAGACCCAGAATGAGCAAAGCTATGATTGAAATATGCAAGTGGAAGACATGTATAAATAAAGAATACAGTCTAAACAGGGTACTAAGAATCTCTGTGAAATAACTTAAAACAATGGATTAAAGTTGTATAAATTTAAATTTGCAAAAAATATAGCAAAATACTGGTTTGGAAAGAGGAGTTTTAGATGAGGGGAACAAATCTGCCAAGTACAGACTGAAGCTAGAACCTTGGGCAGCTTCAAAATAGGTTGGACATGCATACCAGTTTGAAGGGTTGGGTTTAAAAAGGACCTGCCTAGTATGAGCCAAATGACCTACTGCAATGCTCCTGTTCCTATATAATCCCTGGCAACCATAAAGAATTAAACCTCCAATCCTAATACCATCATTCTGTAATATGTTCTTAATTGTCTACACATTTTTTATAATAAAATTCCTATTTATGGGGAAGTGCTAAGCCATACAGTGCCTTTCTCTAATAAAAACTTTTCAGAATAAGTTAGAGTCCCTATCTTGGCCTGTGTATATGTACACAGCATAAATTGAAGTTATTTCCCTTATCCAATGTTATTAAAGACATCTCATCCATATGGACCCCAGGATTTGCTTAATTATAATAATAATAATAATAGTAGTAAGTCTTCATAATTCATCACTAGACCTATAACAATGTGCTTAATGCAAACACTGCATTAACTTAAATCAGCAGTGTGTAAAAATCTGTAAAATAAACTTCAATAAAGCTTATTTAGCTTTATAAGAAATGGATGAAGTTTGATGTACACATTTGGTACCGCTAAACTGAAGTATTCAGAATATTTAAACTCTGTTATATAAAAAAAACTGCAGAGTTTGCAACAAGAGACTGTTGTTAAAATTAAATTGTGCAATATTCCCCAGAAGTGGGAATCAGTTAACTGTGAGTCACTCTCAGTAGAGTAATAAAACCCCTTACAAGAAGGTGGTTAGAATCTTGCAACAAGCTCAACAGGTGAGCACCGACCCCTAGAGGCGCATGAAAGAGGAGGTAGAAGCATGCAAGATGCAACATTGCAGGAGGACGGCCCCTTGCTGGACGAGGACGACCCCCTACATCCTCCATCAAGGGAATACCAGCCTCAATACCCCCTTCCAGATCTCGCCCACTTTACGTGCCTCGTGTGCAGGATGTATGGGTGTTCGTGGGCATCATGTAGAGGTGGTGATATGAGGGTGGGGAGGGCGGCTGTGTGTAGCTGTGCTGGCAAGACTTGCAAATGGTGGGACGTCGACGGCCCCACTCCAACTCCCCGGGTCCGCCGCCTCTGCTACTCTCCTCCTGCGCACTTTTCTACCTCGTCTGCTGCCAACAAACAGTTTCTAGCCGTGGTGGTGCTGGAGACAAGTCCCCGAGTTGATCCCACCTACCCCGCAGCCGCAAATCCTGAGGAAAAATTCAGTGAGACGCGCAAACGATTGTCAATGGCCGAGGCAGACAGGTCGCAGGCACTAACCTGGCAACTATTGCGTTCCTCCACACTTTATACGTTACTCGGCCTCTTTTCCAACTTCTCATTATATTACACATGGTGGTCATATATTCACAAAGACGGCGACGGGCTTACCTGCAACCTAGATGCTTTTACATTATAGAAAAGAGAGTAATTATGTGAGTGTAGGGTGCGCGATGGGTGGCTCTGGCTCCTTGGCTCATCTGTACACATCCAATATGGCGTTCACTCACGTGACCACAACCCCGCCACGTTTAAATAACCTCAAAAATATTCCCACGATGTGTCCATTTGACTTCGCTGATAATTTTCAGTTACCCCTGACTTGCTTAGCCAGTATTGGAGCTCAGTGTGTGGACACATGATATGCTCCCATGACTTTCGACAGTCCGCCTTACAGGAGAGGACTGGGTTGCATGATATATATATATATATAATATATATATATATATATATATATATATATATATATATTATATATATATATATATATATAAAACTAAAATCTTACATGTTATAATGTAGCAAAAAAATATTTAAGTAATACGTAGCTGTGAACACTCGACATTGTTCACTATAGATGTATATGAAGAAAAAGTTATACAACAATTTAAAAGTTTTCTTATCTCAAAGAACTCCAATGGAAATAAGTCACTCTCTCTCTGGCTTTTTTTAAGTTATCCCAGGTTCTCTAATCATATGCTGCTATGTATGATAATCTATGTAATTGTATATGTGTATACCTGAATAAACTTACATCAACTAACTACGTTGCAGTTACCAGAAAAAAAAATATAGAAAATGTCTATACGGAAAAGAATGAAACTCCACTGACTCTTTCTAACATGATAATGGTCCCCTCATGGGAGGTTCCATGACGCTGGTGAGGGGCTCTTGATCTAGGGAATTGAATCTGTGCTCCAGTTCCCTGAATTAAACCTGAATACTTTCCATTCTACCCCCCACATGCGCTGTATAATCCTACGGGTTTAGCGCTCCCCAAGATTATAATAATATAATAATAATGATAATGGCCACATAAAGAGATGAAAAACCTCCATGGGAAAATAAGACGACCACAGCTATTATTGATTACTTAAATGTTGCAGTAGGTGCCGAGTGGGAGGAGGTGGAGGTGAGTATAGACAAAGACAGTACACGAAGCCTTAAGAATAATATTTGATCTATGTATCCCCATTCCTTCCTCTCTCTCTCTCTCTCTCTCTCTCTCTCTTCGAGAAAGAGAGATATCTCAGTGTACATACAGAAGCTTGTATCAGTTTAAATCCACTGAGTTAACTTTCGTCTCTATACTAGGTACTCACCTATATGTGGTTGCAGGGGTTGAGTCACAGCTCCTGATCGTGTCAGGTTACGTGCAGCCTTAATGACGCTCGTGTAGATAGACTTTAAACCTAGTCAATCAACCAAATAACCAGTTTATTTAAAAAAGATTATTATTAGCATTTGTGAGGTCGCTTAATCCGTGGAGGTCATCAGGGTAGGAGAAATGAGAGGCACTCACATTCTAACCAAGATTAGGGAGGGTCACTCCAATTCCCTGGATCCACAGCCTTTCCCCCTGTCTCCTGGTTGTGTAGAGGAAATGGGTCTTCCTTATTTACCTCTCTACTGAGATACTCTAACGAAACTCACCACCTCCTACCAAGGCTGAGGGACTGATCACCTCAGAACTACTCCTATTGACTTCGCTTTTTCATTCTACTGAAGAAGTCCGTTGTGAAGGCCAGACATATCGGCAATAAATATACCCATGTACTGTACATGTCTCATTCACCATCACTCACCACAATAATGTACCTGGGCTCTAGTTGAGGCTGCTGTAGGTCCCATATGGGTTTAGCGCTTTTGTTAATATAATAACCATAAATGGCATGGTTGAAGGATGATAAACTAGACTATCAGGTCCTAATTTGAACTGACTGAAAATCTCTACCCTAATATACCTGGAGACCTGGAAAGGGTTGGGGGGGGTCAACGCCCCTGTGACCAGGCCTCGCGGTGGATCAGGGCCTGATCAACTAGGCTGTTACTGTTGGAAATGGTAAGAAACGTAATCCAACCCAAGGAAATCCAACGTAACCCAACCTAAAATAGCATAACTAAACCTTACTCCGTCTGGGGTGGATATGGGAATGGTGCGTCTTTGTTTACGTTGCTAACGTGTTGCAACACTCAATACTCTACAGGGTGGGCCAAAAGTAGGCTTACACTTAGTAGGTATGCACTTAACTCCTACACCTGCTCGGCATTTTCACACTTCCAATATTGCTTTAGTATTGGAATACTGGTTTGGAATTATGGTTTGGATAAATTAAATCGAAAACTTGAACAAATAGTGAAAACAACTGTAAGCTTACTTTTGGCCCACCCTGTATACTGACTGGCTCTGACGTACCTAGAGTTTACCTGGAGAGGGTTTCGGGGGTCAACGTCCCCGCGGCTCGGTCTGAGACCAGGCCTCATGGTGGATCAGGGTCTGATCAACCAGGCTGTTATTACTGACAGCACGCAAGCTGACATACGAACCACAGCCCGGTTGGTCAGGTACTGACTTTAGGTGCCTGTCCAGTGCCTTCTTAAAGACAGCCAGGGGTCTATTGGTAATCCCCCTTATGTAGGCTGGGAGGCAATTGAACAGTCTTGGGCCCCGGGCACTTACTGTGTTGTCTCTCAATGTACTCGTTGCGAAAGTAAAAATTTATTATTTTTTCATAATAACTCCCAAAATCAAAATTTTCAAAAGGAATAATGCATAAGTCCTGAGCCATTCCAGCCATGTCAAGAGCATGGAAAAGCCATCCCACCCATGTCAAGAGCATGGAAGAGCCATTCCAACAGTGTCAAGAGCATGGAAGAGCCATCCCACCCATGTCAAGAGCATGGAAGAGCCATTCCAACCGTGTCAGGAGCACGAAAGAGCCATCCCGCCCGTGTCAAGAGCATGAGAGAGCCATCCCACCCGTGTCAAGAGCACGAAAGAGCCATCCCGCCCGTGTCAAGAGCATGAGAGAGCCATCCCACCCGTGTCAGGAGCACGAAAGAGCCATCCCACCCGTGTCAAGAGCATGAGAGAGCCATCCCACCCGTGTCAAGAGCATTCATGTTGCAGGCAACACACCCCTTCCCTCTCACTGTTTAAAATTCTCGACTTATTAAATGAGCAAAGCATCTACACTTATTAACGTGCATTTTATATACACAGAGCACTCAGAACAAACTTCAACCCAGTGTATCGACTCTTCCTGGAGAGCCGCAACAGAACACAGACACAGTGCAAGAAATAAGTATCTCTTTGACACATCGCGTGTTCGACTAAAGCTATATAGGAACTCTATGTGTATAAAGGGCCCTACAATTTCGAACTCCTTTTCAGAACATGCAGTTAGAGTGTGTTGCTGCAGTGGAGATGACGGAAGTGAATTCTGCATGCCTGCTGGTAGATTGGACAATCTATTAAGATAGGGTGAACTGACAGAGCAATCCGACAATCCATGTAGAGTGGTGCTGGGTATTTTCACACGAGGTGTCCGTGAATGAGGCGAGTGTGGCTTATACAACTGTGGGAAGATGTCCAGAAACCTAAAAGCAGTTGGACAGAAAAGAATTTGTTGTGGGCCAATTCGGATCAACTTTGTTGCTAGTAGTTGTGAAATTGTTCAGAGATCACTGAAAAAGTAGTCTGTGTGAGGAAAATTCCTGTGGGATATTGGGAGGTCATGAAAAGCTGATCGAGAAGCCGAGTCTGAACGCCGACGTGCCCAGGGCCCCTGAACACTCACGTGTACAGGAAGCCCTCAATATCGAAGTGTCCAGGGATCCTCAACACCGAAATGTCCAGGGATCCTCAACACCGAAGTGTCCAGGGATCCTCAACACCAACTTGTCCAGGGACCTACAACACCAACGTGTCCAGGGGCCTTCAACACCAACGTGTCCAGGGACCCTCAACACCGACGTGTCTAGGGATCTACAACACCAATGTGTCAAAGGACCCTCAACATCGATGTGTCCAGGGACCTTCAAGATCAACGTGTCCAGGGGCTTTCAACACCAACGTATCCAGGGACCCTCAACACCAATGTGTCCAGGGACCCTCAACATCGACGTGTCCAGGGACCTATAACACCAATGTGTCCAGAGACCCTCAACATCAACGTGTCCAGAGACCCTCAACACCGACGTGTCTAGGGACCTTCAACACGAAAGTGTCCAGGGACCTTCAACACCGATGTGTCCAGGGACCCTCAACACCAACGTATCCAAGGACCTTCAACACCGACGTGTCCAGGAACCCTCAACACCGACGTGTCCAGGGACCTTCAACACCAACGTGTCCAGGGACCTTCAACACCGACGTGTCCAGGGACCTTCAACACCGACGTGTCCAGGGACCTTCAACACCAACGTGTCCAGGGACCTTCAACACCAACGTGTCCAGGGACCTTCAACACCAACGTGTCCAGGGACCCTCAACACCAACGTGTCCAGCAACGTCTCCAGGGACCCATAAAAACTGATGTCTTTGCATTAACTAGAAAATCGTCATAACCAAAAGTTGTATAGGAAGGAGGTCGGGATGATGGGAGTGGAGACTCTGGACAGTCACAATGTAATAAACTGTGATAGACACAGCTAAGAATAACGTGCACGACAGCTATGAGAATCGCATATAATTTTGCTGTGAAAACACTGGACTAGTCGAGTATATGACCTCGGATGATTTTATAAGGAAAAAATGATGCTTATCCAAGACCAACATGGGACTTACAACCATCAGTATACATTGCAACAGCATGAGAAGTAAGTTGATTTAGGCATAGGTACAATTATCACAGTGTAATTTTCCTAGGAAAACCCCCCCCAAAAAAAGTGACTTTTTTCCACTGGTGGTGATGAAAGAGTGAACATGAAACTCGTGCCACCAAGTAAGCTTTAGTACATGACAGTAGGAAAGACCAACCATGAATTGTCAGGTCTTCCCAAGGTGGGATTATTATTATTATTATTAAAGATTAGCCGGTATTCTCCCGGCCTGGGCCTTTTCCAAGTGGTGGCCCGGCCTTGGCTCCCTCTTTAGGGAGTGTCTGAGACCTAAGTCTCCCATGGCAGGAGGCACAAGTACCTCCTCATCTTTGGGACCAACTGTCCCCAGGCCTAGCCACAAGCTAGGCCTCTCTGGTCTGCCATCCCCGCCCCAAGGG